GCAGTAGGCATTTATTGGCTGAACAGCTCCCGAGCCTATCGCTCCTATGCATCCGAGCAAAGCTCTACCCCATTCAGGAGCATTCATTTGGAGTAAACGCAATTGTGAAGGCGCTGGATGAGCCACTTTTGTCAAATGGTTATCATAACTTTCATATGATTCTTCATACTGGACGGAGTAAGGAACTGACAATGGTGTACTTCTGGAAAATGCTGGACTGAACGGGTACATAACCGGTGTGGCTGCTGCACTAGATATCATGTTGAATGGACTTTGAGGGGTATTACTACCTTTACGATAGCTACGTCTTCCACCAGTCTTTTGATTAGGGGTATTGGCGACATCATTTAATGTGGCTAGTTGCTGCAGCTGCACCATTTTGTAATACTCTCCACCTTCACCATCAGTCATTTGCATAAGCTCTTCGTGTGTTCCAGACTCTATTACTCTCCCTTGTTGAAGAACTACTATCCTATACGCCATTCTAATGGTGGACAGACGGTGAGCTATGACGATTGCAGTTCTCCCCATAGATGCATGATCAAGGGCCTCTTGTACAACTCTTTCAGACTGTGAATCCAATGCACTTGTAGCTTCATCAAGCAGCAAGACTTTTGGATCTCTTATCAAAGCCCTCGCTATGGCTATTCGCTGCTTTTGTCCTCCAGATAACTGCAGACCAAATTGCCCAACCTGCAACATTTGAAGGTACAATTATAACAAGGACTTTAAACACAGTTTCACTTGTAGTGATGTGGTTTTCTTTTTACTATCACACTTCCTCCGTTTCAATTTGTTTGTCTTACATTCCTTTTCAACCTATTTAAAAAAACAACTCCTTCATTCTAACTTTCCACATAGCACGTTTAAGACCACAAGATTAAATGACATTTTACACATTCTACCTATCTTTACGACCACAAGATTCAAAAGTATCTTTTACTTTCTATAACTCCGTCAAGTCAAAATCAGACGAACAAATTGAAAAGGAGGGAGTATTATGAAACTGAGGCTATGTACCTGAGTTTCATATGCATCTGGTAACTTTATAATGAAATCATGAGCATTTGCAGCTTTTGTTGCCTTCTCCACTTCTTCCATAGTTGCTCCCTCTTTGCCAAACAGTATGTTCTCTTTTATGGTTGTTGCAAAGAGAATTGGTTCTTGATTAACCAGACCTATTTGGGACCTCAGCCACTTTATATGGAGTTTCTTTATCTTGTGACCATCCAATGAAATATCGCCTTCAATGGGATCATAGAATCTCTGAAGCAATGAAATGATTGTGGACTTTCCTGAACCACTACCCCCAACAAGTCCTGTAGTTTTCCCCGGTGAAATTCTAAGATTCAGGCCTTGCAAGATAGGCGCATCGGGCCTTGAGGGGTAACTGAAGCAGACACCATTGAATTCAATTTCTCCTCTTACATATGACAATGCTTTCCCCTTCTTATCTTCAGTGTCGATTGCTGGTTGTCGATCAATCATCTCTGTGATCCGAATTGCAGCAGACTTTGCCTCCGTGATTGCTGTAAGATTTGGAAGAGCCGACAGAATGTTTCTGCAGGAACATGAACGTCTTAATCAACATCATTTCTAGCAACATATAGAGAGACTAAAAACATGAGTATTAAGGTGAGAACTATATTGCTCGGATCCTCCAAAATGCACTACTTTTGGAGGATTCGACACCTACCTAGTGACATTTTTTTGAAGAGTCCGAGCAACATAAGGTGTTAGAAACTTACAATCCTCCCATAAGAACATTGAAACCTGCTACAAATACATCACCTCCTTTTTCTCCATGTTTGCTAACTAGAATCGATCCGAGCCATGCTTGAAAAGCCCAACTAATATAAACCATTCCTAAGCTTCCCATCAACAGCCCTCTAGCAAATCCTTGCTTAATTCCTAGTTCCATAACTTTCTGCAACGATTGACTGAACTTTTCGAGAGTTTGGTTCTCAGCCACATAAGAATACAGTGTTCTTATTGAAGAAATAGCTTGTTCTGCTATTCCTCCTGCAACTCCATATGACTCTATCATCTGCATTCCCACATTCATCATCATTGTACCAAATCCAAGTCCAGGAATGATGAACATTAAGGTGAATGGTATCGCGGCCAAAGTGATCTTCCATGAGAGTAGAAAGGCAAAGATATGACAGAACAGGAAGGACGACATGTAAGCCAGGCAATCAGGTATCTGAATGAAAGCACAAAGTAAAGATTAGAGACTACAAAATGCAAAACTTGAGAACAAAGATTGGCTATTACATTTTTTTTCTATCAACTAAAATAATATTATAGTTATACAACGTTATTTGAGAAGCAAAAGTATTACTACTACTATAAATCTTCTGATTAAGTATTGCAGAACTTCATTGACAGAAGGGTGGTCATTTGAACATCTCCCGCTAGAAAATTATACTATGTATATACGTTAAATATTACTCTAGTACCTTTTATACATGTATACCGAATCTTGGCTCCCTTGACGAGTATGTTGTTGTTGTTACAACTATTTACAACAGCAACAAATTATTCACAGCACAAATGGAAGAGAATATTTACATACCTTCTCGCCTATGGTGATCTGGATGGTAGTTGAATCAGCTGATACAGTCGAAATTACTTGATAAGTAGTGGAAGATTCAGCTGCCTGTGTATCGAAAAATCCAACTTCTTGCCTCAGAACAGATTTTAGATACTCTAATCTCATTCTAGATGTTTGTCTTTCTGCAGTTCTTGCCCAACATAATCCTTCTGCACTCACAAATGTTTCAATATGTCATCTTTTGTTACCATCACACACACACAAAAAAAAACGATCCAGGATTTGAAGTTTGTAAGTTTTCATAACAATATCAAGTTAATATATAATACTAATAACCAAGTTCATAGTCAAATAATCCAAAGAGCGAACCCCTGACCCTTCCCACCTGAGGCTACCCCTGCTCTAAGATAAGACAATTCCGAGAACTTAGTACATCAAACTATATATTGTAACCCCATCAGAAGGATCAATAGTGTTACTCGAACCTAGTGAAGGTGCTCAACCACTTGAACTAGCCTCACCCTTGTCGTTGATCCGCCTTTTTGTGTCAAATCAAGAGAGAAAATGAAACTTAGTTTCACTTACCAACAAAAGAAGCCAGTCCAACTCCAATAGCAACATATAGTAACCTGAGAGAATACTGCAATGAAAACAAAACACTCTTAACAAATGTTTACTACTAATTAGCATGCAAATTAAAGCTAATTAATCGTTGTATCACCTTGTTGACAGTCTTCATAGAAACAGAATTACTTAAATTTCCATAATCATTAATTACATCACTAAGCACAAACATCATTAGTGGAATCTGAAGACCATCTCCCATACTTCCTAATGTTCCAAAGAACATTAACATCTTATCTTTTTTATCAGCAAATCTGAACATGCCTTGTTTATTATTACCTCCCATTATAGAAACAATACACAAAAAACACTATAATTAATCTTGTTTTTATAATATGCTTTTTGCAGGCCACAGGGCAGATTATTAGCTAAAAGGGAATATGCAATAAAGTTTGTATTTGCCGGCTTTGTTTGTTGGTAGCCTTAAAACTTAACAAATTTGTTGGTTTTGTCAATTCTAGTTTGGTCTCCTTGTTTTTAATTATTTCTTAATTCTTATCGTGACAAATTAGAATCAAGAGAGCAGATTCAAAATTTTAAGTTATTAACATTAAATTTATTTGTGTTTGATCAATACTTATATTGAATCTCGACTAATTTAAATTTATCAATACTTCATGCTTAAAAGAATTAGTAGCCATAATCTAGTGCATCACATTCGTTGATGGAGTTGAGGGGTTTAACTTTAAGTACATAACAATAAATAATGTATATCAATATATATCAACATATTATAATAAGTAATATGCTTTATTTTCTAGGTTATTTATTATACTTTTTTTACTAAAATTGTAGTTTTATCTATTAAAAGTGACATAGTAGTGTATAATTTTTTTTTAAAAAAAAAAATTTGAAGTGTTTGTTTTTAAGATTCTTGAGACCTGGCCGGACTAGTTTAAGGTAACTTTAGAATCATTCTCCACACGTTATTATTAATAAAATCTTGTCTAGAAGATAAATTAATCGTCCATCATTGTCAATGTATGGTATTTTATATATTGTATCGTTCTCCGTCCTTATATAACGTCACATATCTATAATTTAAATGATAAATTTAAAAAATCGTAGTTTTTAGGATAGAAATACTATGAAATGACATGGTACACGATAAAAATAGAATTATTGAATATAAGTAGAGATAAAATAAAAATAAATATTAAGGTATTGATGCAATCACGTCAAATCATTCGTTACATAAAATCAATTTTTTTATCATTATCTTACAATAAACTTAAATGATACGATATACTCAAATTCAAATAACAAATAAAACAAATATTATATTTAAAATAACAATATATTATAACACAACGAATAAAAACCATTCAAACAAGGAGTAAGTGATAAAAGCATATTTTTCACTTTTCAAGAAAGGAAGGAAAACAAAGTTCTTTCTACTATTTCAAAATTGATTGTCTGCCAATACAAATAAAATGGAAAGGAACTCACATGACGATCTCAATTTATGTGATATTTTCTAAAAATTAAAACATTTAAATTCGATTAAAAATTTAGACCTAAAATCTTTTTAAAAAAAGTTATATTTATAAATTATGTAAAAAGTAGTATAAATCATAATAATTTACAATTTAAAAATATTTAAAAAATTTATAATAAAAACTAAACTTGTTTGAATTTCAAAATTTAAAAAATGTCATATAAATGGAAATGAAGAGAGTACTGATCAAAGTACAACTTTGGAAATATTTAGTACCAGTAATAATAAATTACTAATTATAATTAAAAATAAATTTATTTCTCGCATAATTAAGATAAAATCAGAAAATAAATTATAATTTTTTTAAAATCGAGGATCTAATAGTACTTGTGCAAATTTCACTTTAGCCTCGAAGAACCTTTGTATTGTGAACGTTGTTGGCTCCTTTCATAGTCAGTTCCTTAATTTCTTCATTCACCAAATTCCTTTCTTGGATTATGCAGTTTTAGATCAAATTCCTTTCTTGGATTATGCAGTTTTAGATCAAATTAAACACTAATTTAACTCAACATAATCAAATCTAACTGTTAGAATTGAGTGTTTCTGCAAAAAAGATTGAATCTTTTTGTTTAATCTGTGCTGTGGTAAGCTTTGAGTTGACAGTGAAGCAAGAATCCAGTTGGGTCATTGCTCATGCCCGGTTCCAAATCCAAAACCCTAACATCTTTGTTCCGTGCCGCTACTAAATTATCAAAGCAATGGAAACCTGTTTCCCCTTCAACTTCAGCCAATGGTGTTGCCCTAAAACAATATGGATCTCCATCTTCTAAACCCTCTAATGATTCTTCTAAGTCTCTCAGTGAAATAGCTGCTGAAAGTTTCAACTTTAAGTCTGCTGCTGACTATGGTAAGCACATTTTCCCAATTCTTATTTGCTCTAACTTTATTGATTTGTTTTGATAGTGGTAAGATATGCGTATACACTACGTGGCTAAACCCCACTTGTGGAATTATGCTTCATGTTTTGTTGTAATAATGCTTCATGTTTTGTTGTAATAATTATTATTTCAGAAAGTTTGTTTTTTTGTATGAGATATCTGAGAAATGTAACTCATTGTTATAAAGGCAAAAGGAGGAATATTTAAAGGTGTTTAATTAGTTTATGTGTTTTGGGTTTGTTTGTTTGTGTAGGGGAATCATCAAAACTGTTGTCAAGTGAAATATCATCGATACTCTGTGGTATGTTTTTATCTTTTCTTTTTTTGTTGTGTTAATTTGATTAGTTAGGTGTATTCATTACAGTTTGTATTGTACGGGTTGTTTGGTTCAAAGCAAGGTTAAGTCCCTGAGATTGATTATAACCAGGATAGGTAGTCCCACTTATTCTCATGATTTTGGTATGATTTTATCCTAGTTTTAGCTTATACCGACAAGGCCACAACTGAACATCAAATGCATTTATAAGTGAAGAGTTGATGAACTTAAGCCCCCTAATACCAGTAACCAAATGGACCCTAAGTCTTAGATATGTTAAAATCTGAGGAGGACAGCTAACTTTCGTTTTTTTTTTCTGAAATAGTTCCTTCTCTTTGTTTATTCTTTTGTTGGCTCTTTGTATAGTTTTTTTTACTTTGGTATATTGCATGGACTCAGTTGTTCAAATTAGAGATGAGTTGTTAAATATGAATGCACATTATGATAGATACCATCATATTGGTACAACATCATGTTTAGTTTATTGTTCTTGGGACAATATTAGTTTGTTAGAGTAATAGGTGAAGAATCTCTCCTGCTTTCCTGCGAGTTGTACTTTTCCTGTACTGACTAAATTTAATTCTTCCTTTGGCTCGGATTTAGGGAACTTTCGTTATGTACACAGCTTTCCTAACTCCTATGACGAGCTAGAAGGTGGTTTTACCTTTCTCTGCTAAATGTACATTGAAATGGTAAATATATCTGTCAATATGTCTTGTTTCCTTCCTTCACGAGTCAAGATTTTTTTGGAGTGTGGGGTATCTTGGAGCTTCAATAATTCACTCTGTGACCATTGAAGACTTAAATGAGTTACCACAAATTTTCAATTGCCAAATTGGAAAGTTCTGCCACAAATGTCTAAAATGTCATTCCCCCGTTTAAGATTTGAATCTATCTGAATCTGTTGTGGTTCTCTGTCTTGGGAATTCTTGTAATTATAATGATATTTGACAGCCAGAGGTTGAACAAACATGTAAATTATGATGTTTGGCCAGCTACTCTTATCCTTGTATTGATATTTATGCATTATCTTGGGGGCTTAAGAGATATCAAGAAAGTAATATGTGTGGTTGTATTATTATCTTTTATTTATTTTTGATGAAGTAAGTAGTTAATTTTAATCAAAAAATAAAGAAGATGCATACTTACAAAAGGTCCCAAAGGTTACCTCCGGTACAATGCTAAGTTCAAGGAGCTAAGAAAATCCAATAATATATCAATGCTATTTTCAGTGGTAAGAAATTCCAACTGAACAAACTAGCAAAGCATTTTGAAGTAGTACCTTTTTTTTTAAAAAAAAATTATTGTTATTTCTAGAGCATACCAAGTTGGTGCGTTAAGATCTTTTCTCATGGCTTCTTGGTGGCTTGGAAACTGCATATTCTTTTTACTGAATTCCTTGTGATGTAACTAGATGTGGACAAAGAATGCACAACTTAGAATATCTATTAATCTTTTCATATGTTGTCTGTATGCAATTGTCTTGCATCCCATTTTACCTATATATTCTTCTGATTATCTATATAGGTGATTTAGATTCTTATTTGAGCGATCCAGAAGAGAGTAGTAATGCAAGTTGCTTGGAAAATGTATTGGATGTACCATGGTTATCAAATGTAGAAAAATGCAGCATTTCATTGCGGCGGAAAGAAATAGCACGAGAAAGGAAGGAAAAGTGGACCTTCAAGAGTTCTCAGGTAGGTCGTTTCCACCAGTTAGTTGAACAATGTGCCTGTAAATTGGGGACTGATACTACCATTAAGGTGTTTGGTAAATTGGGACGAGAAACTGGCCTGAAAGAATATAATGCGCTGATAAGACTCTGTATAGAGAAGGCCAGAGAAAGTAATGATGAAGAGGTGTCGTTGAAGCAGCTTTCAAAGGCATATCAACTACTAAAATCAATGAAGGAACAGGGTTTTCAATTAAAAGAGGAGAGCTATGGTTCAATTCTTATGTATTTTATTGATTTTGGCATGGTACAAGATTTTGATTTTTACTGTGAGCTCATTACGGATGGAAATGCTGATTCACTTGTGAGATTAACTTACTATGAGATGTTGCTTTGGGCTAAGGTGGAAAATGAAGATAAAATAGAAGAACTCCTCTACCATCTTTCTCTTTATGATGGTGCTGATAAATCTGCCTTTCAAGGTTTGCAATTTACTGACATATACCCCTATTACAAATTTAGTTTTTATACTCTGGTTGTTTGATCCTGCTGATTAGAAATTACTTGTGGTACCTTGCACTTAATGACTAGTGATAAAAATGATTGAGTTGCATGCCTCTTTTATCATGTTTACTGTACATGATATTTATAATGCATTTGCAAATTGTTGATGAATTTAGAGTCTCTTTGCAATGCGGTAACATCTTAGAATCTTACGAATCATTTCTTAAATGCATCTCATGATGAGTTTTGGCAGATGCTTTACTGTACTATTGCCATATTTTAGACTTTCACAATGTTAACATGTTGCAGAAAACTACCTCTTAGCACTGTGCGAAAGTGACCGAGTTGAGGATTTTGTGAGGGTTCTAAGAACTATTGACATAACAAAAGTTTCATCTATTGATTTTGTCGCAAATATCTTCAAGTTCTTGGGGAAGTTGCTATTGGAGTCCTTCGCTAAGATATTTCTTCAGGAGTTGGTAACAACAGGTAACTTGTCACCTTATTTTTCTTTAGAGGCACCTCTAAAGCTAATTCAACAATCAAGGGCCTCATGTTTAGCCAAATTGTTTCTAATTGCATTGGGTACTTTAAAGTGAAGGTTGCCATGATTGTTTAACTCATAGTGTGACCTGTATGACGGTATCTTGTCCCAATACATCTTAGAAAGGATTATTATCTGATTCTGCAAACTGATATTGCTATACGGTTAAAAAAAGAAATAAAAATTACTGTATAGGGAAAATGTTGTGAGTATTGGCATCAGTTATAAGGAAACTGAAGATTTTCCTTTTTCTGTTGCTGTTAGAAGATCTTTTACTTCTATGGTAATCTTATTGATTAACAAAGTGTCCTTATCTCTTCAACTTATATTCCATTCACGGCTTCACGCATCCTAATATAGCCTCTCTCAAAGCAGGTATTGGAGCAAAAGACATCTCAAAATTCATTTGTAATTATACAATTAGCATGCCAAGTGCGGTGAGGAACTTCTCATTAATTCCACTTATGATCTCCCTTGGTATACATTCACATGATGCTTGCATAAGTCAGAAAATTTTAAATGCTGAATCAAAAGATTATTGGATAAAATATCTAAGGGGCTGTTTGTTTGCGCAAATCACAAGTTCAATTTGCACCTTAAGTTCTGTGTTCAGTCAAACAGTGTCAACTGATGTCACATGTACTGGAATAATGGAAGTTAAAGGGAATATAGCGTGGTGTTGTATTTTGCGCTTCTAATTATTTTTTATTCTCCTGGATGCGATAAGCATTTCTTTTCTCTGCTAACGGAATTGGTTGGAAATTTGTAGGTAAACTATTGCAGTTGCCAAGCTGATCTGTAGTTATGCTAATACTCGATATCTGTCCATCAGTGAAATATTATTCTGATTGCTCTGTTATTAATGGCAGGTTGAAGATGTCATCCTTGAATTCAAAAATTTACATGCGGAGTTGGAGCTTAGGCCAACATTTTCCCAGTATGAGAAGCTTATTCGGTACTGTTGTGAGTTATTTAAGGTATGAACTGATTATTTAAAGATATTCTATTCAGTGCTTAGAGACTTCGTTGTGCAAAATTAGAGTCATTACATGTTCTGGTTAATGTGTGAAGTTTTCTAATGTACTGACAGTTGCAACTTTGTAAATAGGTACATGCTGCATTAGATATGGTTGATCAAATGTTTGAAGCAGGTTTGACATTATCGTTGGAGACATTTAATTCCATACTTGAAGCCTGCGATAAAAGCCGTGAGTATAATTTGGTAGGTTAGTTTGAATCCCTCATCTTTTTGATGTCTTAGTTTATTAGCTTAATCTACTTTAATTGTTTAGTTTGGGCTAGGACACATAAATTAGATGAGATTTAACTGTCACAAATGTTCCTTGGTTCTCATAAATTTGCTATCATGTATAGCACTCAAGGATGTGGCCTAATAGTCAATGAAGTGTTTGAGAATCCTGAGGTCTCAGGTTTGAAACTCGGGGGAGACAAAAAACACTAGGTGATTCTTCCCATCTCGACTAGCCTTGGTGGATAGAGTTACTTGTTTCTGGTAGGAGGTGGGAGGTGGCAGGTATCCCGTGGAATTAGTTGAGGTGCGCGAAAGCTGGCCCGGACACCACGGTCAGAAAAAACAGAATATATAAAAAGTTGCTAACATGTATGTAGTTAGAATACAGTTTTGATGATCATTACCGAATGTTACCGAATGTACACTAGTCTTAGACCATCCTGGGCAGCATGTTTTATTCGAAAAACTAATGTACTAAGTAGTTAGTGATGGTTTTAAGACCCTTGGGGTCTTTGCACTTCAGCACTGGACATTTGAAAATTATAGAAATCAACGACCAGATGGTTGCTAAAGTGCATAAACAAGTATATTTTTTCACTCAAGGAATGACCTCTTTGCCATTATTTCTCTTTACTAGATTAGGTGTTGTTCATAGAAAATCAAATCCGTTTTAAGGTTTCAATTTTGTTGGTACAATTCTTGTATATGGGTGCATTATTTAGTTCTTTTTGATTGCCTAGTGTGTGCTAAGAAGTTATTTTATGCGGTTAATCTTGATGTTTAGATCAACTTTGTGAGACTACACTATGTATGTTGTTGTTGTAATGTGAATGTCAATCTTTAGAGGCAAAAGTAAAGAAACAGTTCATCTTCTCAAAAGAGAAAGGACTTATTTCCCACAATCTGCTCAGCTGGAGCTTTTAACCCTTATGAGCAACAAAGTTGGAGTCTCCAAATAGGTTATGTATTAAATAGCAAATGGACTTCACAATTATTAATCCATGTCTTATCAGTCATGAATAAGTACTAAGTTCATGATGTCAAACCAAGTAAAAAGTAAATCATGGCAATGATAGATTTTTCAGTTGAATTTAACCTGTGGATGTTCTCTTCTTCCCTCATTGTTAACTGGATCACTGGTTGGCTGATTCTTTGATTTGAAAATTACGTTAGGAGTTTCTCCAGTGAGCAGCTAGTACCATAGTGATTATATTTAAAATTGTCCATTGTGTATCTCTTGTATCTTTGATTCATATAGTGTTGTCATAAATCATGTTTTAATGTTTATCCTCATGAATCTTAGGTTCATCGAATGTATCCAATGATACTTCGTCATGATATCAAGCCAAATAGTGAGACCTTCAGGATTATGATAAACATGACTGTGAGAATAAAGGATGTAAGTTTCCTCTTCATATCAGGGGATAATATTTGTATATAAATATTGAATGAGTCGCTTAACTAGCCAAGCTCTATGTTCTCTATGTTGTCCTAACTGCAGTTTGAAGGTGCATATGACATGCTCAAGGATTTGGAGAAGTTTAACTTGATGCCTACCACAAACATGTACAATGCCATAATGGGAGGATATTTCCGAGAGGTGGGTTCCCCTTTATCTGTTGTCTTCTATGCTTGAGTTGTCATACATTATCTATGTGCAGAACAACTAAATTTTGCTCTCAAACCCATTTGTTGCATCTTGTGATCTTCATTCGACCGGGCCTCTTTCAGAGTACCTATAGAACATCTTTTTGAGTGAAAGGAACAAAGACGTTGAAGGATATTGCATAATTTTAAGTTGTATCATTTGTGCAGTAAGGTTTAACTTTTTTATTGGATCTAGACGTAATAATAATTCTAGCAAGTTTATGTTAATAATTTCACTAAATTATGTGGCAGAAGTTGATTGTATCTCTACATGAGCTGTACAACAAGAGCTAAGGTCATCTAGTTCGTATTTTTAAAAATAATTCCGGTTTCATATTCTGCATCAAATGTTATCTTCTTGGTTACCATATTTGTTTACGTATTAAGACCCACTTGGGTTTATGTGCATATCGAATGTGAAATGCACATAGTAGTAGTATGTGCCTACACACATCTAAATGCACAAAAATGCTTTTTATATTATTACATGTTTAGTTAATTACACGTTTTGTATTCATTTAATTTTAAGTAATGCTTTTCTTTTCAAAAATTTGAGAAAGTGTTTAAAAATGTTTTTTCATGATTCTAAGTGTAACTCAATGTTCAAAATTCATCCTCTCATATTTTTGGATACATGGTCTTTAGAATTTCCTTTTAAAATTGTTCATTATTTTGAGAGAATTTAAAATTTACTATTAAGAATTCATTATTATAATCCTTAGTCAAAAATAAAATAAAAGTAATGATTATAATCTTTAGCTTTTTTATACTGACATAAATCATGTAGTCGATAAATATATATATGATGGCAAGCACCCAAGGGTGTGACCTAGTGGTCAATAAAGTGGGAGGAGAATCATGAGGTCTAAGGTTCAAATCCCAACAGAGATAAAAACACTAGGTGATATCTTTCAATTTGTCTAATCATGAGCAGAGTACATGTTGTCTATTTTTGGTGGTAGGGAACAAGTATTTCGTAGAATTAGTCGAGGTGCGCATAAGTTGGTACATACACCACAATTATTTTTTAAAAACATTTTTGTGATGGCAAAATTAATTGGGAATTCGGGATCAAAGCAGTTATCAGTGTTAAGGCTTACGAGATTTAGAGAGCTCCTACTTTCCTTGAATTATCTAGTATTGCAACAAGACAAACCTGAATGGACCAGACTAGATATAGATAATTCATATGTTCAAGCCCAACTGATTAGTGTGAACTGGAGCACGCCAGAGCACACCCAGACTTCCTTAGCTGCTGTTTGAGGAAAGGTGGAACATGAAAGTAAAAACCAGAAGAGACGATGGAGAATAGTTCCAACTTGCATTTGGTGGATTATATGTTAGGAGAGAAACCAGAGGATTTTTGAAGGGAGAGAATGCTCATTACAGAAGATCAAAAGAAAAGTTATTACTATTTTAGCTTTTGATGTAACGAAAAAAAATATAGAAGAAGAAATCCAACTAGTGAATGTTATAGGATCCTTATAAGTATCTGTGTCTTTTCTTGTAAATTTTTGGAGGTGAACAGCATAGCCCTAAATGCTGATAAATACAAATTTACTGCCTTTTTTAAAAAGGAATATCTTGTGCATGCATTTTAGATACAGAAAACTGCCTTGTTGCGTGTGTGAAAGGCTGTCCAAAATCCTGCAAACCATAGTTGTTGCTTGATGGTTTTTGTTACTTCTATTTTAGAATTTGTTGCTTGTATTTCCCTATCTATGGATGTAATAATGGTTGGATGGTGCTGATTACTTCTGTTTTTTTTTTGACTTTTGACCTTTTTTTTGCTGAACATCTGGCAGAAAGACACTCGTGCTGCATTAGGGGTTCTCAAACGAATGGAAGATGCTAATGTGAAGTCAGACTCTCAGACTTTCAGCTATCTGATAAGCAACTGCACGAATGAGGATGACATATCTAAGGTCCTTGGTTTTACATATCTGTTTTGTGATCTTGATAAAGAACATTTGTTGTGACTTGGCAAAATTGTCTTTTTGGGAATATGACTGTAGATTATTCTTGCTTTTCTCATTTCTCTGGTGTAACTAAGTTTTATTGTGTAAGTGGATGCATTATTTTCATTTGTCAGCTTTTCTAGATTATTTCTCTTTCATAATTCTCGTTTTTATGAGATGGTGGTTCAGTAATTGTTTAGTAAAAGTTAAAATGGAGATATAATGTGCTTTGATTATAGAAGGAAAGCTAGCTTATATTGAGCGTATTAAGATTATAAGAACGAAATCTAGCTCATATTGAGCTTATTAAGATTACAAGACTAGTTCAGCTCATACACTATCAAAAGTCAGGCTAGCATCCTGCAAATCCCCATTCCTATGAGAGTTTGGGGATTGGAGTTAACCATATAAAAGAAGTTGAAAACCTTCATATTTTATGTAGATACTGCTTTGGAAGAAAATTGTGGCTAAAACAAGAAGTTCATAACCGGTTCATAGAGTGGGATAGAAACCGTGTATTGCAAATTAACTAGTGAAGGCATAAGAAATTCTACTTAACCCTCATATCAAAAGAGAGGAAATCTTATTGAATGATGTATAATTAGCGTACAAAGTTTAACTGTGTTCCATCAATACATCCATCAGCATGGTGCTAGTCTTTCCATTTAATGTAAAGATTGTCCTTTATGTGAATGTAATTCTCTTAAAGCAATCTTCACAAAATTTTCATAAAATGTTTCTCAGTGGTAACTGGTTCCATGAATCTGCTTCCTTTATCTGATTTATTCGGGCATAGACTCTTTTGCTCTTTGTTTTTCTTTGTTTATGAAATATCTGCCTTTTCTTTTCATGTTAGTAGATAGATGCTTATCTTGTTGACATTGGCTACAAATGTGGAACTATCATAGTTGGTAATTTGAAAATTTGTAGTTTCTCGATGAGATGAAAGATTCTGGAGTTCAACTCACAAAGCATGTATATATGGCCCTAATAAATGGATATGCAGCTTCTGGACAGTTTGAAAAGGCTAAACAGGTACACAACGAGTGTTCTATAAATCTTTTATGGACATATTTTTTCCTTTTTTTCATGCTAAATCCTTTGTTAGATCCATAAATTCTTAATAGCTGGTTTCCCCCTGATTTCAATTGTCTACTTCACTGTATTTATTTAATTTTCTTGAAGTTTCTTCTGCCATATGATTGGTGGGTGCGTACTTGTATTTTAAGAGATAAATTTATAAGCTTCTTTGAAGCTATGCTACATATAGTGTAAATTCTAACGTGGTGTTTTTTATGTTGTCAAATCGGAAGCTTTCATGTGAAATATACTCCTTGGAGAAAAAAATTGAACTGCTCTAAAACTGATAACCGCTGTGTAGAACATCTATGCGATAATATATTCTTTTACTTCTCTCATTGTTAGGGGCATGATCTTGCCAAAAAAAAATATGAGTTGTTCTGATTATTTAGAAGCATCAATGGATGTGCAGGTAATCTGTGATCAAGGAGTATCTGCAAAGGGTTTCAATGAAATTAGAAGTGTGCTTATTTCAGCTCTTGCTTCACATGGGAAAATATCAGATGCCCTTGATATATATAAGGAAATGGAAGAAGCTCAATGCAAGTTGGAGCCAAAAGCGGTCACCTGTCTTATTGTAAGTGTTTTTTTGGCATATGTGCTCTTTCCCAGGATCTTTTCCTTGACACCTTCAATATTCTGACACAGTTACCCTTTTAAATTAAAATCTTGCAGGAAAATCTTCAAGCTGAAGGAGATTTGCATAGATTGCTCAACCTACTTGAGCAATTAAATGGCCTCGATCAATGGGTGGATGCCTCCTATAGGGTCATAACATATTGTATTCGGAAAAATCATTTCAGGTCTAAAATCATAATTGTTTCTTGAGAATATTGCTGAAATTTGGAGTTGCTTTAATTTCCCCCTCTTTTGTAATAGATCTATTGTCGACTTGCTTAAAAGGCTGGTAGATGTATACAAGTCTGATGAAGTGGCTAAGGAAGTTCTATTCGATGAGGTTTTGCACTTCTTCCTTTTCTCTGCTCTGTATTGGAACACATAATTATATTTCGTAGAAACTCGGTTCTTTTTGGGTTCTGTGATTTATATACTCTCGCATCAGTTCTTGTGTGCTAGATAAAGCTCCCCAATGCATATGATACTTTTACTTGACAAAATTGTATTCATTAATAATGAGGCCTTTATTTAGCTCTGATGTGTTTTATTGCTTGGTATTCATTTGGTAATCACGGAACAGGTTTTCTACCAGATTGCGGAACAAGACCCAATAAATTTACAGTTAGGCTTGGATCTCCTTCAGGCTATTAAAAAAGATATTGGTCTCCTCCCTTCACGACAAAGTCTTGATTTCCTCCTCAGTGCTTGTGTCAATGCCAAAGATTTACAAGCTTGTTATCTGATTTGGAAGGAGTACAGAATAGCTGGTCTTCCTTACAATATTTTAAGTTATGTGAGGTAACTTCAAATAACTAGTGTTTTTTAGTCTTGTTTGATTGCTTGAAAGCACTGTTCCTAGGAAATTCATGATAGCTACTCATATCATTTTGTTTTGATTTCTCTACAAGTGCATCTGTTGAGAACTCACTTGATTAATCATTCAACACTGAGATTTGATTAAGCTAGACAAATGCATTTCCATTTATTTGTTGGTTTGTATCCTTCTTGGTTTTGAGTGAAATGAAAAAGAAACATTTGTCATATAAAACTAGGTCAATGATATCTAACAATCTAATAAAGTCGAAGTTGAAAAAAAAGAGAGAAAAATAAAGTCATCAAACTAACAATGCTTCTCAACTGCTTGATGTCCTCCTCTCTCTTCTGTGTTCCATCGTCTAAGGTTCTAGACCTATGAGAGACATTGGGAGTTTTATGTAGTTTTCACTTGTGTGATGGTGGGTAGGTCTTCTTGTTGCATGCTAAAAGGTTCTTGTTGAGATATCTTGTTCTCCTATGACGTGTGTGCCAACAGTCAAATCATCCCTTTCCTTTTCTTTTCAAGTTATATATCAGTTTTCTTTTCTCCAATCTTTTCCAAGCAGAACACTGTTGGAGTTCTCAGTCTCCTTTTAATTAAAGGAAAAAGCACTGCTAAAAATCTGCAATCTTTTCGCTCAATTGCAAAGTAACATGGTGTTATGTGACTATTCGGATCAACATGCTATTGAGAACACAATAAATATGAAGCAACTACACTTCAAACTAGTCGTATTTTAACCTCATTAGGTTTGGGATACTTGTGATGTCACAAATGTGATTTGTGTCCTTTTATGTTTTCCTTCTTTGCTCAAAATCATTGTTTGATGCAGGATGTATCGAGCCTTGTTGGCATTAGGGGACTACAAATCTGCAGCAAATATTCTCAATAATATACCAAGGGATGATTTTCATGTTTGCAATGTAGTCAAAGCTTGTCAAACAGCTTATGGAACGTCTGCCTCCGCAAAAGGGAAAAAGAAAGAAAACAAGACTGGGAAGATTGTGACATATAAGATGTGAAAAGTGGAATTCGTAGGGGATTTAGAAAATTCTTCGGTATGTGTTAGTTCTGAACATGCCGGTCTCTGTTCCTGCTACGTTTTTTTTTTCCCCTTCCTCTTTGTGCTCACTCTTCTTCATCCCTTTTCTTTTGGGTGCAGCAGTTGTATGAGATCAACATTTTGCAGTTCATGTAGATGTACAACTTTTAGTGTTGAGAACTCGTTCGTGCTTTAAAGTTGCCCTGAGACTAACAGCAAGTTGGAAGTTGATCAAGAGACGACACTTCTTTCGACTTCTGGTATCATGCCTTAAAAAAGGTTGGTGTTCCTTCTGATCTTGAAAGAGAAACATATATTCTGTATGGCATAGAAAGTGACGGACTGCAGCGTAGAGATGTTTAACAAGCTTTACGCATACAGAAAATGCTTCGTGGTGTTCGAATAATCTATCAGGGAGAACAACAATGAAGAGAAATTGATAATCCTTTTCTTTATTGCTCAAAGATGTTGCCTCTTTGAACAATTTTTATTTACTATATTCAGAAAGTATATTTCAATTGTACTCCTTGATAGTAAAGATGTAACGATTATTGATGATTTTTTGTAATACAATAGGAAAAATTTCAGCTTTTGGCCAAAAATGAAATCTACAATCCTTTCGAGGTGACCTCGTGGTTTGGACTCGGGACTTTCATATTGGAGGTGTCAATATTTAACCCTAGCCAGCAAAAGCAAGGATTTTTGCTTTCTGGGTCGTGCTCGTCGATAATGAAATACAGACTTAAATACAGTACAAGTGAAACAAAGATGCTACAAATTTGTCAAAAAGAATTAGCAACAAGAATGGCTTGCCTACAACGTGCTTTAGCTTGTTCAAGTCTTTTATTCAATGTTTCTTCTTTAACAGCAGCACTCACCATAGCTAAATCCATTTCCATAAGCTTCAAAACTCTGTACAATTCCGTCACCATTCTCTCCTCCACTTTTCCTTCGTCTTTCAACACTTCCGCTTCTTCCCTAGCTCTTTCTGCAACTATTTCTCCAACTTTCGCTAACAACGCCGTCGACCCAAAATCCCTAGCCATTAACTCTTCCAATTTCTCCAAAAAATCCATTATCACATACCCAATTGGCTTATCTAATGGAATTGGCTTTGTTCTCTTCCACCCAATTTCGAAATTTGGTGGGTCTTGCTTTATAAGCTCAGTTCTTGATTTTCTCTCACGGATTATCTCGGATTTTCGACGTTTTTCAATTGGGAATTTTTCTGGGCTAATTGTTGTTTCTGAATTTGGGGTTAGAAATTCTGGGTCTGAAGAAGATTCAGGTGAAGTGCATTTGATAGTGAATTGCTTTACGCAAGAAATTGGATGAATTGAAGGAAGAAGATGGAGATGGTGAAGTTGAAGAATATTTGAAGAAGAAGCCATTGTTTTAAATTCTCCAACAAAGTTGATAAGGTCTTATATAGTGTAGTATTTACTTTTGTCAATATACACTATTTGATAAAAGTGAATATCTAGATTGAGCTAAATATCTACCTGAAATACATTGCGTTTCGAAATATTTGTCATGTTTAATTTTTGATATTGAGAAAAAGTACGACTTGTATTATTTCTTGTGTAATCTTGACATATGGTAAACAACAATAACAACATATGTAGTGATATTTCACAAGTAGAATCTGAGAGGATAAAATATATGCAAATTTTTTCACCATCTCGCGAAGGTAAAGAAATTATTTTTGAATACTCACATCTCAAGAGCAATCAATTCAAGTATAAAGAAGAAGAAAACATAATAACTAACGAAGAAGAAACTGCAAAGTCAATAAGAAAGAAATGTCGCTAGTACAATAACAAACATCTACGAGCCTACACCCTCAAAAAGTAAAAGTAACTCTCCATACCTCCTAACCAACTATACTTCTTCGCCTATTTTCATTTAAAATTAATATTGATTAAATTACTCTCGAAAAATAAAATATGACAGTATTTTAATATAGATAGAATACAACACTTGTTTTGTTCATTTCATGTGACACTATTTTCATCGTTGAAGAATATCACTTTACTCTAATTAAAGATAATTTTACTTTAGAATCATATTTATTTTCCTGATGTACTTGATATACTTTTGTTTAGAATCTTGTTTGGTCATATGACACAAAATCATCATAAGATAAAGTTCAAATTTTATTTGGATATGTCGTTTGAACATTTTATCATGAATATAAAAAAATCATAAATTATAAAATTATTCTATATTTTTTTTACAATCTTATCAAATAAATAAAAATTTAATAAATCACATATACCGTATCATAATATTATTCTTAAAACATACCGTATTAATTGATCGAACCTTAATACTGTTCAAGGTGTTAGTAAAAGAAATTGTTTTTTTCAATTAATTAATGTCACAAACTCACAATGATATGTCTTGTGCACTTAATACAATGATGGTAAAATATTTTTATTAAGGTTTTTAAAAATAAAATATATATTCAGGTCGATTTTTCTATTTAAAACGTTTAAATTATAATTTAAAATTCTGAAAATCATATTAATTTGAAAATTTAGATCATATCTAAAACGCTAATTTCATCTCACGTATAAAATTAATCTTAAAAAAAAATGTCACTTGCGTCTTTTTTTTTTTAACAAATATTTTAGGGACACTGTAAATATGTAGAGTTTTTCGTTCCTCTCTAAGCTCTGGCGGAGTGATAGCAATGGCGGCCAGAGTACCTCTAGGATGTGAGCCAGTTGTTGGATCATTAACACCGTCAAGGAAAAAGGAGTATAGAGTGACGAACAGACTCCAAGAAGGCAAACGCCCATTATATGGCGTCGTCTTCAATTTCATTGATTCGCGCTACTTCAATGTCTTTGCTACTGTGGGCGGAAATCGTGTGAGTTTTTTCATTTGGGGTTTGTCAAAATTGTATTTTGTTTGTTGTGCTGATTCGAATTTGTGGAATATAATACTTTTCTTTTAGTAATTTGAGCTCTGGAATGAAACGGGTAAACGGGTACGTGTATGAACGACCTAATTGTTTGAGGTTGGTGGGTTGCTCTTATTGTTGTTATTGTGGTTGTTGGCTTCATGTATTACTATGAAAGTTCGAAATTTTCGTTCTTTTAGGATTTGTCTTGAGTTCTAGAATGAAACGGGATGACGGGTATGGGTGTAACTGTCCCAATTGTTTGAGACTGATGGGTTGCTCTTTTTTTTTGTGTGTGTGATTATTGGCTTCATTTATTGGTATGGAAGTTCAATTTTTTCATTCATTTGTCTTGAGTTCTGAAATGAAACGGGTTAATGTTGAAGAGTTGGTCTTCTTGTTGTTGTTATTTTTGGGTTCATGTATTAGTATGGAAGTTCAAAATTTGTACAATTTAGGTAAGAAGTATCAATCTTTTGTTTTTCTTTCCATCTTGGTCTGTCTTATTTTTTTAAATGCCTCGGGGTTAATATTAGTTGAGCTGCTGCTTGTTTCAGATGAAATTGTGCTAAAATTGGACTTGCAAGTTGCTTTAATGTTGATTGATGGTTCAAGGACCCTTTTTGTTTCCTACAATTGCTCTTATGCTTATCTTGGTAGATTCATTGATGCGTCACAAACTGAAATGTCTTTATGTAGTTATGACTTAGGATGGATGAGCCAGCTTTGTACAAACTTATGTTGTATGGTGTAATGATCGACAGTTTTTGTATGTTTCTCCACACATGCAGAGTGCCACATATTCAACAGATTTGATAATAATTACCTAATGGTTCACCTTACTATTATAAATTGTTCATGGCAAAGGTTATGATTCTCAGAATTGGGTATGGATTGTAATCTTGTATAATCTCTTAGCAGTGTGGAGTTATGCTATTATATATCTTGTTGTATTTCTAATCTAAGTTGAGAGTTATGGATGATGTAAAAGTAAATTTAGGATTTGGAGAAGTGCATGCTCTTGTTAAGTGATGTGTCTTTTATTGGTCTAGATATGTCATCTGAGAGTTGTTTCAGAATACCGAACTGAAAGAAGATAACAACAACAGAAGAATAGTACTAGCCTCAGGAAGTCAGGATATGCTTTTACTGTATGCCAATTGTCGATATCCTGACTAGTCTTTATTTTCTGGCTGTTCGTCAGGTGACTGTATATCAGTGTCTCGAAGGTGGTGTCATTGCTGTGCTGCAGTCTTATATTGATGAAGATGTAAGAAGTTGCAAGCACACAGTTGTTCCATCTGTTCTGTACATATGTTATTTCATATACTTAAAAAACTTTTGTTTTTTCCATGTGCTGTGTAAATCAGAAAGATGAATCCTTTTACACTGTAAGTTGGGCCTGCAATATTGATGGAAGTCCATTCTTAGTGGCTGGTGGAATAAATGGAGTTATTCGTGTTATTGATGCTGGGAAAGAGAAGCTACACAAGGTCTTGACATGAAATCTCTGATTCACATTTTACATGCTCAAACAAAAGTAGTTGCTCTTTTAGTTATAAAAAATGAATATCTGCATATGAGTTTTTAACAGCCCTCTAATTGATCTTTATCTTAAAACTAAAGTATTTCCTTTTTCCATGATTCAATCCATCTTATTCATCATGATATTTACAAGTTAAATATTCCTTCATGATTCGTTCCATGTTAAGTTGTATTAACAATACAAACTTGAAAGAGAAAGGTTCTCTTAAAAGTTAAAGCTAGTTACATGTTAACTTAATATCATATGTCTATTAATCTATTTTAATCTACTTTCTTATGATTGAACAGAGCTTTGTGGGGCACGGAGACTCAGTAAATGAAATTAGGACTCAACCCTTGAAACCATCTCTTGTATTATCTGCCAGCAAAGTATGTACCTTATGGATTCCTCTATTTCCTTCCCCCGCAAGGAAAAATATATTTGATCCTCTTTATTGGAAGAAAAATATTTGCACAGTTGCAAGATGTATGTGGAGTATCAATCAATTTTGCAAATATTTTACATGGCATAGTGTAATTATCACGAGTGTTACAGGATGAATCTGTTCGCTTGTGGAATGTTCATACTGGAATATGCATTTTGGTATTTGCTGGCGCTGGAGGTCATCGGAATGAAGTACTTAGTGTGGTAAGTTTCTCTGTCAATTGCAGTTCCACTCCAAGGATGGAGTTGGTCGCAAAGTAATGTCTTTCACATCTTTTACTAATACTGAGAACCAATATTTAAGCATATCAGCTGGTTTGTGATGTTTGTAGGACTTCCATCCTACTGATATATATCGGATTGCTAGCTGTGGAATGGATAACACTGTTAAGATCTGGTCAATGAAAGGTAAAACCTGTAACCCTTTTCAGTTTCACATGTATTATTGAAATACGACATATGATATAATACTAAGTATCATCACAGTCTAAAACTTTGAAAAGAGAAAAACTGAGGGTGATCTTTAGAGTAGCAACTTGTTATTGGCTGTATTCACAAGGCTTTTCCAGAATCTTTAGGGATGATGATGGTGCTATGCCTGTACTTTTCTGGATTTGGTGATTTTGCCACCGATATATCTTGAATCTCACACGACTACCTGGACGTGTTGAAATAATGACTTGCACACAATCTTCATTGTGGAATACATTAATTTATTAGCACAT